TACCTCTTCAGCTTCAAATCTCTATCCTTCTTTTGGCATATCCAGTTTTCCAGATTGGTACTGATCTAGAGCTTCAGTTCTGGAGGGCACATATTGTCTCAGTTCCTTCCTGATGTCAAACCCTTTTGGTTCCCCTGTGCAGAATATATGCATAATTTGCTAGTGTGCATCTTTTCTGAAAGTCCCTTTTTTGAGGGCTTTGTGCAACAAAGCCAACTGATAGGATCAATTGTATACCAGGGTACAGGAGGATGATGCCATAGTAAGAAATGGAGCTTTTTTTTTTGGTATGTTAAATGGCTGGAGAGAGCTGTCACAGTTTGATAAGCATGAACATGATGTGCTGAATTCCAAGTTAAATGAGAATGATGTAATGGTAAAGTTAGGCTCTGCTTGGCACACAAACCGACTTAAGAATGCAAAGCCCGTAAGGAAGTTTCTCGCTGAAGAGTCTGTTTGTATATCTGGCTCTAAATAGTTTCGTTTGTCTAAATGCATTCCTTCTATATGGTTACACTATTCTGAGTCATATATAGTTCTGCAGCGTGAATCGGTGTTGGCCATTGTTCTGATCCTCACTTCTGTTTTTCATTGCCCTGAGACTGTCTCCATGGGACATAACTACAACATCCCTTGGTAGAAAGCAGTGCATCTGCCTGCTAGTGGATTGGCGTGTTTTAAATGAGCAAGTCTATTACCTTCAAGTTCATCTTGCGAATTTAATCAAACCTGAAGAATGAAAGGCATTTGTCTAGGTTGTATCGAGTGCATAAGGAGCTACTTATTGCCGATCGATCTTCTAGGGTGCCTGGGCTGAAAGTCTTGATGATCCTGTTTGGAGTTTTTGGGTGGTCAGTTGAAAACAGCAAAGTCAAGCACTCTGGTTAAGAAATCCCAGGATGGAGGTTACCTTTGCAGTGTCACTTCAGCTGCTTTGTGTATTTGCCTCACAACACTCTTTTAATTGCATTCTCCTGCTTTTTCCATTGGTTCCTTGTTTCCTCTCTTGTTCAGCATAGACACTGCTGACTGACCTGAGCAGCTGCTCAGTGTGTGCTTGTTTGTTTTAAACCTTTATTCATAAAGTATAGCCCATGATTTAAAAAGTGACAGGAAAAGCAAAGGAGTCCAGAAGCTACCTTGCCAAACTTCTACTTGCTTGAGGAAGGCTTTGAAGCAGTCTTTTGTTTCAACCCAGTGTTAAAATCTTTCCCCCTAAATGTTTTTGCTGTGTTTGTTTATTTTGATAAAGCTTACAAACTTTGAGCCTAAACACTTGCATATGGCAGATGTGTAAGTAAATTGAGCAAATGTAATTCTTAGCTCTGCCTATTCTGACCTTACACTGGGTATGTCTGCACAAGACCCTAACTGCACAGTAGCCTAATTCTACTGCACAATAGTGTGCAGGGCAAAACCCACATTAATATGCTACTGCAGAGTAGTGTTAGGCTACTGCACAGTTAGCACCACTAAAAAGCTATGTGCTGGTGCTACTACATGGTACATACTACATAGTAGCACCAGTTACTGTGAATTGATTTAGTACTTTGCAAGTACTAAACTTAATGCACATTAACTACAGCACATTAATAAACGTGTAGATGCACTCAGTGAGTCTAAACTTCTAAGAAGCAGGCTTCTTTATGAATACCAGTCTGATAATGGCAGTTGGCAATAACTGTACTTCAAGGACTGTGGAAGCTCAGGACTCCTGTAAAACAGAATGATTTTTCTACTGTTGCTTGAAGTCTGCCATATTTCTCAGTTTACCTACAACAAGGAAGGTGGTAGAGAGCACAGATGCTGGCTGAACCCTGGCTATGATCTTTCAACAAAGAAAATGTCTATTAGAGCTTTTGTTTTTGTTTTTTTCAATGGGGGTGCCATGGCCCCGGTTAGCATTGTTAGCTGTGCAAACGTGATTCACAAGACAAACCCAGAGATTCCAAACGGGAATTAGTAGCATTAAAAACTTTCTGCCCTGTTGTGGGCTTTCTAAGAGCTGGCATTGCCCAAGGATGCCCCGAGTCTGAAACCCAGCAGACTAGTGGTTCTCAGTAAATTCAGTAGTGGCCTCTTGGAGCGTCTTCACTGGAAGGTAGATTGTCTGTCAGGGGCAGCTGCATTGTTCCCAAAGATTGCATTGTGAGCAGCTGATAGTTTGCTAGGACAACAGGGACTGTGTGTGTGTCTACTTGTCTCAAAGGATCGTGGATGCCTGTGTGCTAGATTGTCCGGCCTGATTTTAATAACCCACATGGAGTCTATGCCTGCTTATTGGCTCTAAGCTTAATATGTTAAGCAAGAACTTGGCAGTACATAGCACTGTATGACTGAAAACAAAGTACATGGCAGTAGGACCTCCTTTTTAAGCTAGCGTGGAAATTGAAGATTGACTGGCTCGGGGAACTGTGGCATTATTAGGCTTCAGCTATTAACATTCTCAGCTTGTGGAGCTGTGGTTTTGCAGCAGTTATTTGTTCCTTCACACAGCATTTAATCAACATGCTTAATGTCAGGCTAGGCATGTTTTTTATAAAGGGCTGAGCCACTGATGTGTAATTTTAGAAGGCGGGGGGAAGAAGGGTATGAGAATTTTGAGCAAAAGTTTTAATTTTATTACCACCACTTCCATTACTTCTAACCAGCTATTAAGTGGGGGAGATGTAGCATCTAGGGCTACCTGGATAGCACTTGCCTCTCAAAGCTCCACTACCTGAGGGACACGAGCAAAACACTTGTCCCCATGGTGCTGGTGCAGTATGCAGCCTTCTGTTCTTCCAGCCAACTGTTAACTAATACTGAGCAGTGGCTTAGGTCTTGGTCTGAGTGAAAGCATGTGTGCATTTTAGTAAAGGACTCTAATGTAAAATGCAAATGGCATTGGGAGCAGGGGCTCAGAACCCAGGGTTCCCTCCCTCTTGGATACAGGCACCTGAACACTTGGCTTAGCCAAGATGATGGTGCCCCAGACACGCATGGTAGTTGACTTCCTCAAGGTGGTTGTGCCTGGTGGGGTGAGGCTGCTGTGAACTGCTTTTTTGTCGATGGGTACATATCTTCTGACCAAGTTTCTTTGGGTGTGTCTCGCCCCGGATAGCTGCAGTGATACAGAAGTTAAGAGTGCAAACTAACACCTTCTTCATGAGGCTATGGGCGGCCTGGGCAGTTCAGGCATCAGTGATATTGTTTCACATTCTTCTAAATTGTTTTGCATCATATGAAGGCTTAAAAGTGACTTCAAAGTAACTTGTTAGCATGAAGAGCAAGCTTATGGGCCTGTGTTAAAATTTCCAGTTACTTCCCACTTCAAGCTCTATCAACTGCCCACATGCTGTCAAACTCCAGAGGCTCCTTGTATCCTTCTGACATTGTACAGTGGTTTTGTATTGTCTCCGCAAAAGAAGTTTCAGTTAAGAACTGAAAATAAAATATGAATCGTAAGTGGATGAATCTGTGATGAGACCTCTCAGTAGTGTTAAGTTAACTTTTTAAGTTTTAGCAGACTTTCCAGTTTGCTGGGGACTTCTGCTTAACTTGTCAGAGAATATAGCTGCACAGAGCACTGCAATAACAGCGTAGTTGTGGCCACTCACCAACTTTGCATCCCGAAACAACAGTTTCATCGTGAGGGAGAGCGTGGTACTATTACTAGCGTTGATGCAACATTCATGACCTTTAAGCAGAAATGCTGGCTTCTATGCTAATTGAACCCTTTTGCGGTGACAGTTGGTCAGCAACAGTTGCTAAGCAAGCTAACCTTTCCCTGTCTGGTCATCTGTGCGGCTTGGCATCCTGACAATTAAACACATTGGCTGAAGGGGGCTGCAGGCCCCCTTCCTTTCTGGAATTGCAGCTACCCAGTTGTTCTACTAGGGCAAGTCTTTGGCTTGCACATAGTCTACTAGCAAAGCTAGGGGTGCAAAAAGGTTTACGTTAGATAGATGTAAACCTTGCTTATGCTACTTTTGGTTCAGTCTCCAGAGAGAATTGTGTGAGGTGTTTGTTCTTGCTTGGCACCAATAGCCGGTGCTAGGAAGCTACAGGCTTCAAAGGTATTTGTGTTCATTAATAAAACTGACCTATCCTAGAGGTCTGGCTTAGAGGGCATGTCAGCAGTTGACGGGTAAAGGACCTTGGCTTTCATCAGGATCCAGGTGACTGCCAAAAAGTCACAATACAAATTCATAGCAATAGGATATATTGAATTCTGATTGTTTGGCTCCAAGCACTCTGCTTTCAGACCAAGTTAATTGAAATCCTTGCCTTTGGCTACATCTGATGTATCTAACCCAGGTACAGTTGTGCATGCTAGAAAACTGAATGGTCTTTGGTTTTGTTTGTTCAGTGAAAATGCTACTCAAAGGAATGCATTTTTAGGGAAAGACTTTGTGGTACGTCTCCTGCATATTTCTGTAAGTCTGTTCATGGACTTCTGCTTAATTTTTCCCCACGGGGATAGAAAGGGCATACTTCCTTTTCAGAGATCACATTGCATAAGCCTAGAGAGCAATCAATATACCTGCTGAAATTTAAATTATATTGGTTGTTTGCTACAGAAGAGCAATGCCTGTAATTTAACCAGCAGTTCTTTTTCAGAGACAACTAAAAGCAGAGGCCAAGAAAGCTATTGGACGGCTACAACTGCGCACACTAAAGCAAGGGGACAAGGTATAGTTGGCAATCTCCATTTAACTTTTGAGCTCTTAAACTATTAGTCTGGATCTAAACTTTCTTTTTGCTACTACTAAAACTAGCTGTACAAGTATCTTAATACCGCTCTACCCTAATGATTGAGGGGGAGACGGTGCAAATTGAAGCAACTTAAACCAGTGTCTTGTGACAGATATCAACCTGCAAACCTGCTCTCTACCCTTTTTAGCCTAACTAGTGTTTTTAAAGCATAGTGTTAGGTGCTAATTGCTTCTGTTCAAAATCAGGTCTCTTACCCTGGTAACTGTAAATATTCTGGCATGGGAATTCTAGATGACTGGCTAGATCATATCTAGCACTGAACTGCCGCTGTAATGACTGTGTCTTGGGATAGGTAATGACTTGCTCTCTTTGGGTAGGAAATTGGTCCGGATGGTGACAGCTGTGCAGTGTGCATTGAAGCATACAAGCCCAATGAAGTAGTGCGTATCTTAACTTGCAAGTAAGTACCCACCTTAACTCTTGAGTATTTGAAAGGTGTTATAGAGGCAATGTTCACTGCTGATGGTGTTTTAGATGGTGGTTATTACTATAGGAATTGCTCAGCAAAAATAGACTTCCATATCCTCCAAGGTTTCAGAGATCAAAAAAGCATGGAGGTATGGTACAATCTACTACTATAAATGATGGCGGGTTAACAAATAGTTACAGTTAAAGTAGGCCACCCACAAAGCTTGTGAAGGATTTTATAGATTTGTTTTACTAAAAACGTTATACAGTCAGAACGAGCGTGCCTCGGCATAAATGTGCCAAAAATGTAAACCTTAGACTGTTTCCTGCCAACCTAACTCTTAGGCCTTCAAAGTCTAGTTTCAGACCAGTAACCCCACAGTAGCAAAGCTTTGTCAAGGTCTGTCTTGTGTGCTAGTCTGGTAAGTGTGGCCTGGACGTAGTAGGCCATGGGTTTGTGTGTGTTGCTTGCTTTTTCCTTTGTAGTTCAACTCCATAGAAAGCGACGATTTCCTCTGCCCTTGGAATAAAGGCAGGACCCAACACCATGCATTGGTGGTGTTCTTTTTGGTAGCTTGTAACTTGCCTAAGACTACTTTTTGGGGAAAATATTAGCCACAGCAGTTTGGCCTTTCTTTGAGGTAAAAACTAGCTAGTAAACTGAAGCTGGAAGCTTTTCTCAGCTTCGGTCTTGGTCTACAGTCTGTCAGGTTTGAGGAGTTGGGGTGATGTCAGTACAGGTATGTTGGAAGGGGGCTGCCTCAGCATTCAAGTGTTGGAAGCTTCAGTACAAGTGAGGTGACTTGGTGTTGAGGGCAGAGTTGCGTGAAATATTCTTGTGTGAGGAGGATACAGGCAGTGGTCAGCTGAGAATCCAGTTCGGAAGGAAGGACAGATCACAGGGTAAGGCTGCTTTCTCCTCCCAAGCAGGGGTATCTAACGGATGGAAACTGGGATCCGCATGGGCTTGCATAAAATTACAATCTTATGTAAACGCGTGCTATGATCTGTTACCACATAGGGGGGTATCTGTGCTGCCACTGACACAAAGGACTTAAGCTGTTGATGAAAGAAATGAGGAACTGGTCTCTTTCTCCAATGCTGGATGGTTTAATGGTGACAGCATATGAGATGAAAACGCTTTGCAAGAACGCTCCTTTAAACATTTGGTCTTGTCCCGTGGTCATGTTGGCAGTTAGCTTTCAGCAGCTGCCCATGAGACCTCCTGTAGCAACGCATCAGCTTCTTAGACTAGAAAGGCAGGTACACAAGGCTCGTATGCCCCCTAAGTAATTGTCCTTGGAGGATGGATCTCTAACTCTCGTAAGGGGATTTAAAAGCAAAACTTGGATGATTGAGTAGAAATACCAGTCGTCTTAAAACATACATTTCAGATGTATAGACTTACTGGTAGGCTATTCCTCCTTAATACTGCTTCTCTCAAGTCCAAATGCTGTACCCATTGGCTCTGGTTTAAGAGTATATGTCACTTGACCTCTGCAAAGAGTGGATTCTTAAGAATGATTTCAACTCTGAGCTGTGTTTGTACGGTCGTTGTGAGAGAGGTTTGTGGATAACATGGACTTCTGACTGCTGGTGTATGAGCAAGTGCTGCAGGTAGACCTTGATACGGGATCAGGGTTGTAATCTATAGGGGGTTTTTTTCTCATATGTTGGTGGCACACTGGAAGCCCAGCCTTTTCTGTGCTATTGTGCTACAAAGGCTCTGACTACTTGTTGGCTTGTCTTTTTCATTAAGACAAGCTTCTTATATCAAATATGACTTGGCAAACCCGCACTGGAGATTAAGAAACCCATTTTGGGATGGTAAGCAAAGCACATCTCTAAATGGGCCACCTTGTCTAGTGTTTTCTGTACAGGGGCCCAACAGTAAAGGTAGCGTGGCATTCTTTGCATGCTTCAGCACAGTTCTGGCTGGTGATAGTCTATCTCGCTGTGCCTTGCTGAGTTCTGGTCTGTGTTGAAGGTTGTAAAGGCAAGTCATTTAAAACTAGATCACTGTTAAGAAAGTTTCAATGGATTTCTGCATTCTCACATCCCATGTCTCCTAAATTGGGTCTGTGGCAGAACTGGTGTACACAGAGGCATTTCTAGACATACATACTTGTATTAGAGCAGATGGTGTGCTACATAATCCTTGTACACGTCCATTTTCTTTTGTGTGCTGAAAATAAGACACTTGGAGGTGTCGTGCCTCAGGTTGAGGACACGGCATTGGTCAAACTAAGGTTCCTCCTAGATTTTGCAGAAGCAAGTGGCATTTAGTTATGTGCTTTTGCATAACAAATATGCTGACCTTAAATCTAGGGCTGAGGTGTAGAATTTCATGTTCACTTGGCTTATATAAATATAGGCATTATCAGTTTGCAGCCACTGTACACAGATAGGAAGCTTTAAGACCAGGCATAATTCAGATAATATGCTGACTTATTCTCGTAAGTGCTACAGGAATCTAATAAGCACAAGGTATGGCAATTACAGGTGAGTACAGTTATAAATCAGTCGTAGCAAGAACCTATTCGGAGAACTATAGCTCCAAGCAAAGTCATGTAATGCCACTCTGGAGGAGTTGATTTTCATGGCTTTTTCAAAGTAATCTGCATTGCTAGAAGTTGTAAGGGTTCCCTTCCCAAATCTCTGTGGGGAGCATATTACTAGAGGATTACTTTAAGTTGGCATAGAGCCACAAGTGCCCTACAGCGTGGCTGGTTAAGCCCTTCCTGTTCTGACACCTCCTTCACCTAAGGTTTGAACAGACTATTCAGTTTTTTTTAGCTCTCAACAAACTTCTTATGCTTATGGCCTAGTCCAGTGATGCCCGACTTCTTTCCTTGGTGGACTGGATGGGCAGTGCTCCATCTGTCTTTAGGCTGGATCCCACTAGTGGTGCTGATCTGGTGTGGGCACCATCTGCTCATACAAAGTCGGGGTTGGGGACTATCTAGTTACAACCTGGGCCATGTTGTGGGGGAAGAGAGGTGTGGCTTGGTCCCATGGGGGGAGGAGAGGGGGCATGGCCTGGTCCCAATCCAAATGGGGGGGAATGGTGTGACTGGCAGCACAGGATTTGGGAGTTTGGCGGGGGGGAAGGTGACCATATTAATGACCGCTGTTTTTCCCCCACTGCTGAATTTCCCACCCCGGGGGGAGCCCCACATGCTGCATTTGGCCCACGGGCAACCCGGGTCAAGTCTGTCTAGGGTTCCAGCAATTACTTGTGGTTGCAAGTAAAATACGTGAAATACAAAGACCCCTGAACGGCCCAAGGAGTCCAAGATTAGCATGTGACCGACTAGCTTGCTCCTGCCTGTATTCTGGTAACTGTACTAAACAGAATGCATGCAAGTCTGTATGTGTATCGGACCTCTTGAGAGGATCTGTTCAGCACTGTACTGAGGCCCTAGCATGTTTGTTGCAGGGAAGGTTGGGCACCTCTAGTCATGGCAGTGTCAGGAATTAAATGCCACTTGTTTGTTACTCTTTTTTTCTCCTACCAGTCATCTCTTCCACAAGAACTGTATTGACCCCTGGCTGCTAGAACACAGGACGTGTCCCATGTGCAAGTGTGATATACTCAAAGCTTTGGGAATTGAGGTATGTTGGCATTCCTTCCTAGAGGCATTGACTCCTGGAGCACTATATGCTAATGGTGGGTCACTCTGAAGCTGCAAGGGATAAGCTTTGGGGTTTTGAGTAGTTGCCATAATATGGTGAGTCTGTAGCAACAGTAAAGGGGTTGCATTTCAGGTGGAAACCACCGCTGACTCTGACAGCTTAGTACAATTGTTCTTATGAACAGCTACTGGGACAGATCACAAGTGCATCAAGCCCACTCTCCTGTCTCTGGTGGTGGCAGTTAATGGATGCTTCCTAGGAAGAGCATAGAAACCAAGCATGTGTTACATGAATGAGCAGTGTCCCAGCAATGTTGGGCAAGCTGCATCTTCATAGGCCCTCTCCCTACCTTGCTTTCATTTTAAATTGAACAATTTCCCACAGCCAGACATAGAAGATGCAGTGGAGTCCATCCAAGCCACAGCGTCGAATGAAACGCCAACTATCGCTTCAGTTAATGAAGAGGATAATCGGAGTGAGACTGCCTCATCTGGCTATGCCTCAGTACAAGGAACAGATGAACCAGCTCTAGAGGAGCACACCGCTACGGACAGTAAGTGTTCAGTTGTCCCAGTTGTATCACGTGGCATAAATTCTACTAGCTTCTCAGTATGTGAGGTGAGAACTCCTCAAACCTTGCCTTCTGAAGTTTACATGTGTTTTTATATTGAACAGTCAAGCTTTTAACAAGTCGTTTGCACTGAAAGAGCAAATACTGCTTCAAATGCAGCTGGGGAAGCACCATCAGAGAACAAATTGAGAATCCACAGGCTTACTGTTTGAAGTCTCCAGGGCATGTTTTGATTTCTCTTCCGCCCACATGCACTTCACTGCTTTTGTAACAGTTGCCTGTCAAATATAGTTTCTAAACTACTGGTAAATCTAAATGCTTGAGATGAATTCAGTAGTTGAAGAAGACGTATGGAAAGCTAAAGTAATATTCCACTAGATGCAATGGAAATGGCAAATGCTTTAAATTGAATTTCAGATTTTCCAAAGTTTAATGGAAAACAACAGGGTATGACTGACTGTATAAATCTCTTACTGGGCTATTAAAGTTCTCCTCTATAAAGTAATCGTACTCTTAAGTTCTTTTGATAAGAGCTTTCCTCTCTCTTTAAACTAGAATGAGCTAGAAAATGTAGCAAAATCCATCTCCTGTGAAATATCCTTCCTGTCTGGTTTGCACTCTTTACCTTGCTTTGAAATTAAACTAAAGAGTGGCTTAATATTTTGCTGTTACTCTATACCAGGGGTAGGCAACCCATGGCACGGGTGCCACCATGGTGTGTGAAAGCATTTTTGCTTGGCACGTTCCTTGGGGCAGACAACGGGGAAGGGCCGGGGCTTCACTGCCACAACAAGGATTGGGCCCCTTGCAGCTCCCCTGCCATCTGCCCCTGGCACGCCAACATCTTACAAGTCAAGGTTGCAGGTGTTTTTAGCACTCTGCCCAAAAATGTTGCCAACGCTTGCTCTGTCTGGACACTTCTTTCTGTCTAAATTCCTGCCTTTTTTCCCAATGGATTCTAGTAGGGTGTTAAATGGGAGAAATAATAAATAAATAAATATACCCCCTCCTGCCCCATCCAACAAAACCCCACTTGTAGCAGAGTAATGAAAAGCAGTTCC